CTTTTTCCGTGTGTTTCCCTGAAAATAATTGCACACCTTAGAACATTCATCAGCCAATCACATTCAAGCATTCAACAGCCCCGTAGTATATAATGAAATAATATTTTCTGATGTAAGACATACTGCTACATTTACAATGAATTCTTGTCTAATGAAGAGTATTATTTCTAAAATACCATTGTTGGCTTAATTCATACATTGTTTCAAGGATTCACCACTATATATTATAGAGGCAAGAACATATTCCCTATTCCTCAACAGTCCAATTTAAGATTTTTAAATGTAAAATGTGTCTGTTTTTTCCAGATTCGCAAACAGCAGAAGGAGCATGCAGAGCTGATAGAGGAGTACAGGGTTAAACAGCAGCAACAAGGTGGCATGCAGCCTGCAATGATGCATGGAATGCCACCAATGCAGCCTCATGCTGGTATGATGCCAGTTGGGCCCCCAGTGAACCAACCTATGATGGGTCCCATGATGCCCATTCGTCTCCACCCTAGCCAACCAGATGCAGCTAATGTGAGCAACACAGCAGGTTGGCACCCTGGTGCACCTGTTCCCAGTGGAGGACCTCAGATGCCAGGAGTAATGCCCGCTCAAGTAGTGCAGGCACAGCCTCCGCAGCCGGCAGTGGCTAGGCCCGGTCAGGGGCAGGCGGGGGGCGTGAATTTCGACGATACCAACCCATTTAGTGAAGGCTTCCAGGAACGTGAGCGTAAGGAGCGACTACACGAGCAGCAGGAGAGGCAAAGGGTGCAGCTCATGAAGGAGGTGGAAAGGCAGCGGGTGAAACACTGCATGGAGCAACAGCAAGTCCCTAACTGCCAAGATGGCACCATGAGGGCCTTGTCCCAAATGCCTTTTTATAACCAGGAGCTACCGCAGGACTTCATACAGCCACCCAGAATGCAGCAGCAGATGCAAGGTCCACCATTTCCACAGCAGCAAGGCATGCAACCAGGGTTCGTTGGAGGACCATCCAGACCAATGATGGGTAACGGTCCATTCCCTCAGGAAATGGGACCGGGGTTTGTTTCAGAGAACCTAGCACCCCATGGGCCTAACTTTGTCCAAGCACAAGCTAGACCTCAGAGATATCCTGGGCCAAACATGATGCCTCAGAATCCAACTCAAGCGCATCAGTTTCCAATGGAGGGTCCCACGCCCTTGCCTCCAAACTTTCCAGGTCCCGGTCCGTCACTTATCCAGCTGTACTCCAACATCATTCCAGAGGAGAAGGGCAAGAAGAAAAGGAACCGCAAGAAGAAGAAAGATGATGATTGTGAGTCCCTGAGAGCTCCTTCCACACCTCACTCGGATCTGACAGCCCCGTTAACACCCTGCGTGTCAGATACATCATCCACACCGACAAGGAACCCAATGGTCTTCGGCGACCATGAGTTCTGCGAGATGTCCCAGCCTGGATCGTCTACACCAGGCTCCATGAGCAGCCAGCCCCACTCTGAGCTGGAGAGCCAGCTCTCTGAAGGCAACTGTGGTGGAGGGCCAGAGATGGCCATGACCCAACAGGAGATGCATGACAGGATCCTGTCCAACATCAAATTGGAGAAGGTGGAGGCGAGTGACTGCCACGGGCATAAGGGACTGGAGGTGGAAATGGGACTAGGCATGGTCAAGGTAGAGGGAGAGAGGGAAGGAATGCTGCCTCATCCTGCGAGCCAAAGTCCAGCCAACAGCTTCAAAGGAGATGCTGGGAATGAACTCCTCAAACACCTCCTGAAGAATAAGAGGACTCCACCTCCTGCACTGCCCCACCAGAGGTCTGAAGACCGTTTGAGGTCAGAGGAAGAGGGATCCACAGACTACAAAGCATTTCTGCGACAGAGCTCCATGGACAGCACTGGGGTGAGTGATTCAGGATGCATCATTTTCATTTTAATACATGTGTATTTATGAACTCTTTGTCTTAACGGTGTCATTTTTCCATCCCCACAGACATTTTCAGATTCAAACCACCCTGATTTCCCTGGACCATTACTTCCAGAGGACAAGAAGAAACAGAGGAACAAGAGGGCACCCAAGAATGGAGACAGACCCACTCCCCGCTGTAAAAAGCGGAAGAAAGAAGGGGACGAGAATCAAGCAGTGTATTCCTCTACTGAGCCAGTGATGACCCAGTTAAAACAGGTACGACGAAAAATCCTTTTTATTTTCAGTCTGTCACAGCCCTGTCAGTAGGGATCCCTTCATAAATACCAAACAAGAAATGTGTTCTTTTTGACTCACACTGCAGCTTATCATTTAGCATTATGAGCAATATTAATAAAGTGTTCATTTTTCAAGTCTCTCAATAATTTATTTTCAAGTTTTATTTATTCCATGGCAAAGTTGAATTTTACTCCAGTCTTCAGTCACATGATCTTTTATAAATCATAAATTGATTTTAATAATATATTAGAAAATGTAGGAATCAACATTAACTAAGATTAATAAATGCTTTAAAATTATTTTCATTGTTAGTTTGTCAACTAATGTAATTAACATAATGGAACCTTTTTGTAAAGTGTTTCTAAACCTTTCTAAATGTATCTTTTGAGGACGTTTATGTATTTTTACTGAGGAAAAAAGACTAAATGCTAATAAAGAAAGTGATTTTTGCTGTAGCAAATCCACTCAATGTTAGATATCATACACTTTTTGCATTGCTATAATAATTTCTTGAGTTACGGTGGTCTGGTATATATGTGGTTGTCGAAGCCACTTTGTCATGCACTATGAGAAAGAGTCTAGCATGTTCTGGTTTTAATCTCAGACATGATTACAGACAGGAGAGACTGTGCCATGTCAACTCATGTCTGGCGTATCATCACAATAGAAATCACAGTACAAAGGAGGATGGTGCTGTGAGGCATTATGAACGCTCATCACATGAAAGAAAGTCACTGGTATAGATAATGAGCTCTATGAATGAGGAATCTGGAATCGACACAGCAGTTTTAAAATCTCCTGACTGAAGTTTTCTCTATCAAAAAAGTTGCTCATTACATATGTGTTTTGTCAGCAATTTAACAATTCTTTTGTTTTTTGTCTTTTATTCATTAAATTGTTTTAAAGTGACAATAAAGACATTTAAAATAAGAAGAAGAAGAGATGTTTCTTGAGCAGCAAATCAGCATATTAGAATTATTTCTGAAGGATCATGTGACACTGAAGACTAATGATGCTGAAAATTCAGCTTTGCGTTGCAGGAATAAAATATATTTAAATAGAAAACTTTTTAAAATGTTTTAAATTGTAATGATATTTCACAGTACAGTTTTACTGTATTTTTGCTCAAAATAAATGCAGCCTTGGTGTTCATAAGAGACTTTTAAAAACATTTAAATATCGTATTGACGCCAAACGTTTCAACAGTAAAGTTATTTTTTCTGTATTTTTGAGAGGGCATCCATATTTGGTTCAATCTAACTATATACTAAATCAATCAAATCAATTTAATTCTGTTTTAATAACATTTTAATATCTTTTTTAATTAAAGTATATTCTGTCTTTTAATATAATAGTAAATATCATCACTGTGAAATTCAAATTTTTTCAAACGATTAAAGGGTCTTAGCATAAGATGTATCTCATACCTTTTGCTCATCACATGAGAAGTTGTCAGTTTTCTTAATAACATTCATATAGGACCTCATGAGTGCAGGTTTTTCTAAGCATGACCTTTATCTCACGTTTCCCTTGTGTCTCTCTTTGTGTCTCATTGTTTCACTGCACCAGCAGCTTTCTCTCTTGCCCCTAATGGAGCCTCTGGTGGGGGTGAACTTTGCCCATTTCGTGCCCTTTGGGGGCGGACAGCTGGACGGAGAGAGCCATCTCTCGGGCACATTTGGGAGCGCCTCATTGGACGGTGTCTCTGACTATTACTCCCAGCTGATTTACAAGGTAATTAAGAGCAGCTAATAAAACACTCCATGACTGTACATTTGCTGCTGAAGCTTTTTTATGACCTACTTCAAGTTGCGTGACATCAGCAGTAAACTCCACTTATTAGATTTCATGTATGAGATGTGCAGATGGTCACTCATATTTTTCTCTCTCTACAGCAGAATAATTTGAGTAACCCTCCCACACCTCCTGCCTCCCTGCCCCCGACTCCTCCTCCAGTGGTGCGCCAGAAGTTGCTCAATGGCTTTGCCACAACAGAGGAGCTTGCCAGCAAAGGTGGCGTAATTGTTGGCCATGATGGTGAACAAGTTATAGCAACAACCCAAAACATAGATAAAAATAAATGTATTATAATATTCATAATGACACCAATGTTTTTGTTTGAACAGTCACCAAAGGGCTGCTTTCTCGACCGCTGCAGTTTAAGGCTGAGGAGGAGCTGCTGGCTCGAGCTCTGGCTCAGGGGCCCAAAACTGTGAATGTGCCAGCCTCTCTTCCCACCCCGCCTCATAACAACCAGGAAGAGCTCAGGTCAGTAGCCAGATAACAAGAACTGGGATTACACTTCCGATTGATGTTTTTAACATTTCTGTTATATCAAAGTCTGACCTTCAAATGTGTATTTTCAGTAACAGAATAGTTATAATTGCAATTTTGCTAAGTTCTAGATGTATTAGCAGGGACCAGGGAGACTGGAGTAATGGCTAATGAAAATTCAGATTTCTTCAACTTTAAGAAATCATGCTGACCTCGTACTTTTTCATTTTGAATGATAGTGTACATAATTTTTTCCCTGTCAAGCACCCATATTTGATCCTAACTAAACAAAAACACCATATTTTTGAGAACATATTTTAATATCTTTATGCTAATAAATATTAGCATCACTATAAATGAATTTGTTTTGAATGTTATAAGATTTAGCATTAGGTGTGAAATGAGAGTGCAGTAGCATCACATGAGAAGTCGATTCCATAAAATAAAGGGTTGATTCCTCATTTAGGGTAAGTTTTCTGTCCTCTAGGATGAGTTTTATGGTGTTTAATTACTTTTTACTGTGTCTTTATTTTTCCTAAGTTTTGAGACTTTTGAAAGTTAAAATGTCTCTGTTTTTGGCTTATCTCCTACACAGGTTTTTAACTTCCCTCTATAATACATTTATAATGTTAAAACCAGAAGTTGTAATTGTACTGCCATACTTCAGAGTGAAGATCAGAATTTGTTTACATCATGATCTTAAAAGTCATGAAGATCGGTAAAAGTCAGTAACAATCAGTTTCCTTTTTTTTTTTCTTTTCTTTATAAATTCTAACTGAATTGACTGCTAGCTAACCTTCGTCCAAGGCCAAATCCAAGCCCAACGCTTTCTCCAAAAACTGAAAAATGTCATTACAATCACACAATTAAAAAAAAAAAAATTTACACCAAAATCCACTTGAAGGTTGATCAAGGCCTTGTTCAGCCTTTTATTCCAGAGCAAATGCTTTAACACCGATGAAACCCTTTTGAAGAAGTTTCATTATTTTGAAACTTTCAAAAGCGCCCCAATTAAAGAATCCCCATGGTATGTGCGTAAAGGTAATGGAAACAAAATAGCAGGTTGACAGAACTTTGAATGTGATTGTGTTTTAAATCTATTTTTCAGCATCTCAGTTAAAACGTCACAATGTATTTTTCTTATACACACAGGGGACAGGAGCACTGTGAAGACAGAGACACCCCAGACAGCTTTGTCCCGTCGTCTTCCCCAGAGAGTGTCGTTGGCATGGAGATCAGCCGCTATCCTGCTCTCTCATTGGTCAAGGAGGAGCCTCCTTCTCCAGCCCTGTCTCCAGTAATGCCAATGTTTCCTGTCTTTAGGGGCAAAGGTAATAAACTCTTTCCATTTTGTGCCTACACTTACATTATAAATGTTCTGTGCTCTGCTGGGTGACCACAGTGGATTTTTTTTTTTCTGTTTTTGTTTATTCCTCTTATTTTGTAGGCTCAGAGGTCAGGTTACGAGAGGTCAAGACAGAGCCTTCATCAGTGTTCTTCGGCTCTCCATTTGGATCAGTGGAAAACGGCTCCAACACTGGACTGGTGTCCATCGCCATCACACTGAAGCCAGCAGCTGCCGAGGTGAGAAACAGTGATGTTTACCAGAGAAATCCGTTTCTATCCAAATCACTTGATGCACCACTGCAGAATGTGTCTTGAATGACAGTACAAGAACATTACATCAAGTACAACAAAACATGGAAGAAGTACAGCCATTTCCCTGCTACAGAATGGGCAGATACACAAAATTTGACAGATAATTTAAATTCATATTACAAGCAGTCAGTTGAAATGGAGCGAGCAGAAGTAGTATAAATAACTAGATTATTACATTGTCTGAAGAAAATGTGAGTTGTTTCTGCCAATAAGAAAAACCTGCTGAACCCTAAGTATAAGCAATAAGAATAGTGATGCTTGCCTCAATAAACACAGCTACTACATTTCAAATAATGTATGATATAATATCTAAACCCCTCTTATTCTTCACTGTGGTCTTTCAGAACATCACTGATGTTGTTGCAGCCATTGCTGACCTGATCCGTGTGAAGATCCCCAGCAGCTATGAGGTCAGCAGCGGGCCGGGGGGAACTATGGGGGCCATCAAGACCTCGGTGGATCCACAGCGTCTGACCTCTGCACTTCACGAGCCGAATGGACTGCGGGCCACACAGCAAGCACCTCAGCACCTGCAGCTTCTGCACAACCATAACAAAAGTAGGAACACCTGCTTATCCATATTTTGTCACCATTAAATCACCATTAAAAACAGTGGTTTCAGGCCAAATATATGTCTTTGTCTACATAAAGATGTTCTCCGTGTTATCCTTGACATCGAATATGTATAATGCAACATAAAGGTGATTTAAAATTATTTTGGTTTTAGTATTTTAAGGAAAAAAAAAAAAAGTTGTGTTTATAAAGGAAAATTTTTTAAAAGTCGCTTATGCTCACCAAGGCTGCATTTAAATTCTGTAGAAACAGTAATATAGTGAAATACTATTACTAATTTAAATATTTGTTTTCTGTTTAAATACATATTTTAAAATGTAATTTATTTCTCTAATGCATAGCTTAACATCATTACTCTAGTCTACAGTGTCACATGATCCTTCTGAAATCATTTTTATATGAGCTGCTGCTCAAGAAACATTCCTTATTATTATCAACGTTGAAAACAGTTGTTCTGCTTAATATTTTTGTGGAAACCATGATTTTTTTAGCAGAATTTTAGCAGGATTCTTTGATGAATAGACTGTTTAAAAGAACAGCATTTATTTGGAATAGAAATCTTTGTAACATTATGAATGTGTTTACTGTCACTTTTGATCAAGTTAATGCATTCTTGATGAATATAATATTAATTTCTTTCAAAAACCTCACTGACCCCAAACTTTTAAATAGTGTATATATATATATATATATAGATCAAATAAAAAATCCAAATAAACATTTTATATTTATATATAATATATAAAACACTTTTGTTACATTATGTCTGACAATGATGGAACAATGAGTAAATGAATAACTGAATAAATAAATAAATAAATTTTATGGTGCATAATACATACATGGATACAGAATGTAACGGTAGAATTAACCTGATTGGTACACAGTTGCATTCAGCATGTTTACACAAATACAATTATAGGATAGCAATCAGGAATTGTTTATCCATCACTTGTTAACTGTGCAGTATTGTGTCTGTGTCTGTGTCTGCTGATGGAAAATCACTATTGATTTTGTGAACAATTGGAGAAGCTACTTGAACACAGTAGTGATCTTGGCCTGAACTCCATCCTATTGAAGTCTGCTCATCTGTGTCAGATACTCACTTAATGAATGTACTGAATCAGATTAAAAACTTCAATACAAGATTACACCGCGTTCATTGCAGGGAAATGACACAGCTCTCTATTATCATTGTGTAATTGCCGTTTTTGCGCTAATCAGAGCTGGTAGGAAGAACCTTTTCTGTTTATTGACAACTGTGGATCTCTTTCAGGTCTTGTTGGCGGTAGAGCGCAGAATAAGAAGATACAGCAAAGCCCAGGACCGAAGCAACAATGGTGTCAACACTGTAAAGTGGTTGTCCTGGGCAATGGCGTGAGGAAAATTGCCAAAGATGAGCAGGGCAAAGCACAGGTATGAATATGTTATTTTAGTTTTCCCTTAGTGAATGTAAAAGGGCATTTGAAACCCATTTTAGTTCTGAAATGTGACATATTTCCAAGTGAAATGTAGGGTGGGACTTTATTTTATTGAGTGGGAATTGATTGGATCGTTGTATCATGAACAGAAAACGAACATGCTAAGTATATTCTGTGTTTCGGGTGTGCGCCTAAATGGTTAAATACACACAAAAAAAAAAGCCAAAATGCCCGCCTTGGCCAGTATTCACATTAACAAAATTACTAATGTCTTAGGTTAACATAAACAGTTGGGAGAAAATAGGATTTGTGTCAGTATATTAGATCAGTGCGTTAGGTCTTAAAGTGACAGCAGCCTAAAAAACTTGCTGCTGTCTGTCATTAATGTTAATCAGACTACAAAAGAAAAAAGCATTTTTTTTTTGTAATTTTAATAAAAAATCTATGTATATTTCATTTGTACAATGTTGTATTTTACATTTGATTACTTTAAAGATTACTTTCAGATTACATTGTTTCGGTAGTATTTCTTACCTGAATACTACTGAATACTTGCTTGAAAAAGTATTGTTTATTTAATTTCTATCTTTGTACTGTTGTATTCATTTGTTCTGCTGCTTGTCATTTCTGTGTTCTGTTCTGTGTTTCTTTAGTTGTAGGGCCTGCTAGTTTTAACTGCTCAGTAACTTGCAAATTAGTCTTAAAAACCAACATTAAAAATACTCATCATGTGATCATGGATTGTAATCCTACCTGGAAATATTACAATATGATATTTTTGCCATATTGCCCACCCCTAGGATGCATAATTACATCAGCAGGAAAGTAATTTTTCAGAAGCGAAACAACTTGCATTATTACATGCAATTAAAGAAAGACAAGTCAAGCATTTTTAAACCCGATGTCCTCCTGGTTTCTCCCAGGAGTCTCAGTTATGTTCGGATGGTGGTTTGGTGTTCTGCAGTCATAGCTGTCTCATTCTGCACTCATCATCCTCTCAGTCCAGTGGGAACGCCGACACCGAGGTTTGTTTTCGCTGTCATAATCCATATGCAAACAGCATGGCTGATTTTATTTGACTGATGAATAAATTGCTCTTGATTACGCATGATGAATGTTGCACACATTTCATGTTTCTGTGTTGCGTTTCCAGGCATCTGTTGCTCTACTTCCTGAAAGTGCTTTGAAACAGAGTCCCTCTAAAGTCCAGCACCAGTACAGCAACAACATGTCCTCACTGGATGTCCACTGCCTGGCCCAACTCCAGCCCAAACCGTCCCCTTCCTCTATGAATCTTCACACGGCTTTCACCCCAGCTGAGGCGGCTCAAGCGATCAAGATAGAATCCAAACCTGAAAGCATATCGGAGAGCCATTTTAAAATGATGGTAAAGCTTAAACCACATTCCCAGAGCCACATGGAAGACAAACCATGGCATCACGGCAAAAGGTGGAAAGGCCTGTGCTGGCGAAAGTGGACGGTACACATCACGATGCCAAAAGTTGCCACCCAAACATCGGAGTCAGAAGTTGAGGAGCTTTTGCAGCAGCTCAACTCATCTCTGCGGCCGTGCTTAACCACCCTCGATCGGCGCCGCTGCTGTTTTTGCCAACAGATAGGCGATGGGATGACGGATGGCCCAGCCAGGCTGCTCAACCTGGACTTGGACACCTGGGTGCACCTCAACTGCGCCCTCTGGTCCTCCGAGGTCTATGAGACGCAAGCGGGGGCCCTGATCAATGTGGAATTGGCGCGTCAACGAGGGCAAACGGTGGTTTGTGTGTTCTGTCAGCGCTTGGGTGCCACCAGTGGCTGCCATCGGCTGCGCTGCCTCAACATCTACCACTTCACCTGTGCCCTGCAGGCCGGCTGTACGTTTTTCAAGGATAAGACAATGCTGTGCCACCAGCACCGGCCGCGAGGATCTGGCGCCGCCGCCGGGTTGCACTTAGAACAGCAGCTGCTCTGCTTCTCCGTGTTCCGCCGCGTGTTTGTGCAGCGCGATGAGCTACGACAGTTAGCGGCGGCCGTGCAGCAGCCTGAACGCGGCCATACTTTCAGAGTGGGCAGTTTGCTTTTCCATGCGATGGGTCATCTGCCACCTACCCTGCTGCCCACGTTTCATTCGTCCATAGCCATCTTTCCACCTGGCTACGAGGCGAGCCGGCTCTACTGGAGCATGCGGCACGGCCAGAAGCGCTGCCGGTACGTCTGCTCTGTGGAAGAGCATGAGGGGTGTCCTGAATTCAGCATCCGTGTCATTGAGCAGGGCTACGAGGATCTGGTGCTGACCGACACCACTGCTAAAGGTACAGTTGTCACAGTCTCTATTCGATTAATTATGTCACATATACTGATATAAAAGCTGACAGAGTTCCCACGGGTCAATAAAAAAGTCTTAAATTCAGTTTGATCAAATTTACAGTCTTGCAATTACAGAAATTGCAATACGGCCTAGTCAGATTATGAAACTTCAAATGGCTATGTTTTAATGAAAGGAAAAACATGGCACTGTTGCACATTCTACCGGCCCCCAGTTTCAGAGCAGTTTGCGGTCAGTGAATCTTGCGCATTGCCAATGCCAGTAGATTGCTGTTGATGAATTATGACAATGTTTACTTTGTGGCGTTTATATGTTGTAAGTGGTTGTAAGAGTGCATAATCTATCTCTATCACCTTTTCTATGAGCAGCTGAAAATAGTTAAACAGCGACATTTCAAAATAAATCAGGGTGTTTATCAGGCTTGTGTGTAATTACAATTCCTGCATTATGCATAAAGTATTTTTTTCTGGTTATTATTGCTATTTTGGTTGCTTAAACTGTATCTGGCATTTAATTCAACATAAACTAACTTTTCTCTGCTTTGCCCCCTCCCCAAAAAAAAAACTATAAACATTAAACACATTCAATATAGAGATTTTACTAGCACAGGCTTAAAAATATGCCTTTCTTTAAACACATTATTGTATATTGTTTGGCCTCTGATTCATATGTATTGATATATTGATAAATCAATAGATAAGATAAACCAATTTCATTATATGTTATATATTAAATAGAACATCTAAAATAGTATTTTAAATTTGCAGCTACCCTGTTTTGTTAATAAGATGTATTAAGTCTTTAATGAATGTGTGCCTCAGCTTAAGAATCTCAATACATGATTTATTTTGAGATTGTTTGGGATTATTCTGTGTGGACTGTGTGGAGTATTCTTAAAAACATCTTTAAAAGTCTTACATTTGAGCTCTGCAGATACCCTGAGCAAATATTTTTGTATTTTAGTATTATTTTGAAATGTATGATCGATCAGAACTATGATATGATAAACATTAAACATCTCTCATAAAATAACAAGTAAAAACCAGACAAACAGTAACAAGGCATAACATCATATTGAAACAGCAGCTTTAATCTTCAAAAAGGGTGTAAAAAAATAACTACAAACTTGCCTTTTGTCTCCAAACTAAGTGATGTTTTGGCCGCAATCTGCTGTCAATAGAGTTACTCTAAAATCCACTTTAAAAGAACAGAATCAAAGCGCTTTCAATTCTGAAATGAGTGTAAAAGGACTGTTCTCTGTGCATTCACATTGTAACTGAACATTAAAGTGGACTCAGATGCCTTTTTTTTGTGCACATATTTCAAATCACCCTGAGACCACCAAAAAAAAAAAATTTTATGAGCCCCATATACACTCTGAATGTGTAGTAGAGGGCAACACAATGTGCTGCCCCAAAATACCCACATGCATCCCATAAAACTATATCCCATAGTTTTTTGAGGTTCAATAATCACGCTATGCCATATCACAATTTAAATTTCAGTGTGATTGTGTAGCTCTCATTTAAAGCCAGATAATCTCAACAGTCCTACCTGCGACAGCGACATGATGTTTTTTTTATTTGTTTGTGTGCTCTAGGGGTCTGGGACAAGGTTCTTGGGCCCGTGGCTGAGAGGAGGGCTGAGACGGGCATGCTGAGACTCTTCCCCGTCTATCTGAAGGGAGAGGACCTGTTTGGGCTCACCATCTCAGCAGTTACCCGCATTACTGAATCGGTTAGTACGGTCAGCCTCAGTATCACTCACTGCATATTGTAAAGTGAGATGTCCAGTTACATGCAGTTTGTTACGATGAGCTAATTTTGTGATTTGTCACTCTATTGTAGCTGCCAGGTGTGGAGGCGTGCTCGAGGTATCGATTCCGTTATGGACGTAATCCCATGTTGGTGCTTCCACTGTCCATCAATCCATCTGGTTGCGCTCGTTCTGAGTTGCAGACGTACCCCCATCATGAGAGGTCAGTAGCTGCATTTTGTAAAAAGAGTGTTTCAGTATTGGGAAAAATTAAGGTACGGTCACATAAACAAAATTTCAGCAAAAATTGCATGTGCAAAAAACTGTTTCTGCGGGTCTTAACTCTTAATTTGCCCTTCTGAAGATTAAAAGTTCTTAAACTGTAGCAGAAAGTCTTAAAATTCATAAAGTCATGGCATTATTGCATGCACTGCAAAGAATAAATATATTTATCAGTATTTTTGTCTTGTTTTTTAGTTCAAAAGTCTAATCATCCTCAAATCAAATTACATTTAGTTGTGATGCAAAATGAAGATTGTTGAAGTTTTGTTTTATGAGAAATTGAACAAAATGGAGTTCATGCTTAAAACAAAAACAGGTATCTGTCAAAAGGGCCTGAAAACTTGTTTTCCCTTTGAATGAAGTTGATTTTTCTGACCCCTTTGACAGATCTTAAACTCACTTTATTTTGATCAGTTTTTCAGAACACGAGACTTCTTATCTTCTGTCATTTTGCTTCTCAATGTATCTTGATTTAAGAAACTTTAAAAATAAGACAAAAATATAGAGGAAGAACATCATGTTTCAGCAGTATACTCAGAAGGTACACTAAAAGATATTACCAAATTCTAGTGAAGCTATTTTTGTTTGTAAAATTAATTACAAATTAATGGAGATCTGTTGGAAGTTGTATTTTCAAAACGTTACATACAATTCCTTTTGTGCTCCCTGGACATTTACATTTAGAGAACACACTGACATATTGTTTTTCCTTTAATTTAATCCTTATATTTTCTTTAATTGGTCTTAAAATGGTCTTAAAAAGTCTTAAACTTACCTTCATAAAACCTGCAGGGTCCATTGTTGTTGTCAGTAGAGATGTTGGTCAATTTGCATGACCAGCTTGAATACAAGCGAAATCTGTGTGAGGAACGTAAGGACGAAAAAGGGCACGGGTGAAAGATTTCCTCATGCATGTATTATTTAATGGGTGACCTTTACTTTTTGAGTTGAGGAACAGAAATAATGTTTTCTTTCTGTGTTTCTGCCATCGCCTCCTTACAGGCTGAAGATCCTCTCCGTGTGGTCCAGAGCATCACATTGCATCCAGAACTCAACGGTGGCAGAGAGAGGATCTTCTCACAGCAAGCACTTTGTGCACTCGAAGTCATCTCAGTACCGCCGACTGACCAGCGACTGGAAGACAAATGTGTATCTGGCACACTCTCGCATCCAGGTGAGTCCATGCACACGAGCGCTTTGTGAAGAACACGTTTGATCATCTCACCCATCTGATGCACATTGGCAAAAGCTGACTGAAATTGCCAGATTCAATCAGACTGACTGAAAAGGAAAAGTTTTAAGGGATTCAGATTGGCCTTGAAATACTCAGTGTGCCTTGAGTAGTGACTACAGTTTCTGTCATTCCTCTAAGAGCGTCTTAATGAAATATGTCTCTTTTAAGCCTGTATTATTGGCATTCCTCCCTCTGGCACGGTTGTGCGGTCATCTAAAACGGTGGTTCTCAAACTGGGGTACGCGTACCCCTGGGGGTACGTGAGATGTCGGAGGTGGGTACGCAAACAAAATTCTGAGTTTTGGCATTCATTTAATTCTACCCCAACTTAAAGTAACATTAAAACCGAATATGTATTTCTGACAACCAAAATGCCGTTTCTAATGTAAAAATAGGAAAATGGGAGTGTCGTAAACGGTCAAATACATGATATTTAAACAGCTTACCTCATCTTTTGCGGTCAAAACTGACTGCATCCACACACGCAGCGTGCATGTGATAGGATGGCTGCTGAATATGCTGCTTTAGCAAATCGCTCTGCTGTCTTTAAAGTAGATCTTCACTTAAAGCATGAACAGCAAATATTGATACGGACTGAGATCGATTTAAAACTCTCTTCGATACAGACACACTCTGTGCGTGTTGTTTTCATGTTTAAGATACGAGCAAGAATGCAAATTTCCCTGAATATCCAAACGATGGCAAATGTGCCATTCATTTTTACAACAGTTCAACAAAAAAAAGATAATATTAAATGAACATTTTACATTTTAAATGTAGCCTACATTTTAAACAGAATATTGTCATGTTTGTTCTATTTTGCAACGAAATAATAGTTCCAACGAAATCCATATCATCTGGTGTGCGTCTCCAAGCAACATACAGCGGTGTTTCGTTAGTGAACGAATCTGCGGCTTTGAACGATTTGGAGAGTCAGTGATTATAATAACCCATTCATAACTACAGCATTTTGCTTCGTTACTGAATAAATTAATGACGCGACGCCTGGCTCATTAAGACAGTGACTTGCCGCCACCTACTGGCGGTTTTATTTTTAAATCTACAATTATCACTTCGATTTGCCATCATTTATTGCTTTATTTATTATATTAATAATACACTTAATGGAATGTTAAGAATATGACATAAAACATGACATACAATTAATAAGGATAGAAAATATTTGCCTCTATAAAAAAGGTAAAAAATGCACCTGTAAATCCATTTAAGGGGGCACAAATTGTCCTTTATTAGAAAAGGTGTGACTGCGGTCTAAGTGGAAGAGAGGGGGTACGCAGAAGAATGTTAAATGCCCCAGGGGGTACACCGCTGTAAAAAGTTTGAGAACCACTGATCTAAGAGCCACAGCTGATCCAGTGTCACTTCCAGTTCCCTGCCGAGCTTTTTGCATAAAAACAGCTAAATCACAGAGTCATATCTGATGTCTCATTCAGTCAGCTGTACAAACCTGTGTGTTAATTGAAGCAGGGTAGAATGCAATGTACATAGGTCAGTCTGGATCCAGGTCACATTTACCCCCACCAAAAAATATATATATATTTTGCATATGGAAATGAAGTGATTCTCATTAGAGTACCATTAATGTACTGTAAAAGATATGCATGGTACTGTAAAAGTGCTTTACTACAATATTTTTAAAAATAAATTGCCATGATGTATAAATGAATTCAAATTTTAAATCAATTTTAATTGTATTTTTTTCCACATTACAGTAATGACAATTGGACAGAAAATGTGAATAATAGTTATAAAAATAACGTCATGATGCAAAATAATCTTAATGACATGAAATAGGCTCAATTTTATCTACTATTTATAATAACCCATTCATAACTACAGCATTTTGCTTCGTTACTGAATAAATTAATGACGCGACGCCTGGCTCATTAAGACAGTGACTTGCCGCCACCTACTGGCGGTTTTATTTTTAAATCTACAATTATCACTTCGATTTGCCATCATTTATTGCTTTATTTATTATATTAATAATACACTTAATGGAATGTTAAGAATATGACATAAAACATGACATACAATTAATAAGGATAGAAAATATTTGCCTCTATAAAAAAGGTAAAAAATGCACCTGTAAATCCATTTAAGGGGGCACAAATTGTCCTTTATTAGAAAAGGTGTGACTGCGGTCTAAGTGGAAGAGAGGGGGTACGCAGAAGAATGTTAAATGCCCCAGGGGGTACACCGCTGTAAAAAGTTTGAGAACCACTGATCTAAGAGCCACAGCTGATCCAGTGTCACTTCCAGTTCCCTGCCGAGCTTTTTGCATAAAAACAGCTAAATCACAGAGTCATATCTGATGTCTCATTCAGTCAGCTGTACAAACCTGTGTGTTAATTGAAGCAGGGTAGAATGCAATGTACATAGGTCAGTCTGGATCCAGGTCACATTTACCCCCACCAAAAAATATATATATATTTTGCATATGGAAATGAAGTGATTCTCATTAGAGTACCATTAATGTACTGTAAAAGATATGCATGGTACTGTAAAAGTGCTTTACTACAATATTTTTAAAAATAAATTGCCATGATGTATAAATGAATTCAAATTTTAAATCAATTTTAATTGTATTTTTTTCCACATTACAGTAATGACAATTGGACAGAAAATGTGAATAATAGTTATAAAAATAACGTCATGATGCAAAATAATCTTAATGACATGAAATAGGCTCAATTTTATCTACTATATAGTTTGTCTACTATAAATATATATTTTTTTATTTTTTTTTACCACCCAGAGATGGTTCATAAAGTTTTAAATATGGATATTTTTCTTACACAAATGCATCTATTCACTTCATATACACCTAGGATGGATTGAGGGTGAGTAAATAATGAGGTAATTTTCATTTTTGGGTGAACTATCCCTTTAACAGATTTTCATGGGATTCATGTTTCTTCATGCTCAGGCAGAATTACAAGTCTTTGGGGACAATCATATTTTTGGGACAGATTAGTATCCAGAAGTGAGCTAAACCTGACAAAACCTCTTTATCATTTGTAAAAAATTATATAAAAATAAAGTTTCTAAAAATGCAGAAAGTTTTCTGTTATTGTTTGGATATATTGTTTAGAACTAGCTATATACAAAAACAATAGAATACAAAAAGTCTATGAAATGTCCCAAGTAAACGTGTGTGTATACCGATTATTCATATCTTGGGGACAATTTTGTACCCAGAACCTAGGTGCAAACCTGGCAAAACTTCCTTTTGGGGATGTCCTCGTTTGTATAAACAGTATAAAAATAAAAAAGTTTTTCAAGAAAAAAAAAAAAGGCAGAAAGTTTTCAGTTAGGGTTAGCTTATAGTATTTATATGTATGCTGTATATAGAACAGCGTAAGCCTATGGAATATGCCCATTGTGACTAAACATGAGTGTGTGTGTGAGCTCTAGCCTTGGGTGTGGAAGCATGTCTAATGTGTCTCATGTCTGCAGGGTCTTGGGCTGTTTGCAGCGCGTGACATTGAGAAGCAGACCATGGTGATTGAATACATGGGGGATATTCTGCGCGCTGAGGTGGCCATGAGGAAAGAGCTGCTGTACAAGGCTAAGGTAAAGCTCGCTCAACCACTGAGGGAATAGCGCTGGGAATAATGTTGCCTTGACTTCGAAATGCATTTGTATAAATCTGTGTGGATTTCTCCCACAGAACCGCCCAGCGTACATGTTCCGCGTCGACAGCGAGCGAGTTATCGATGCAACCCGGTCTGGAAGCCCTGCAAGGTAAGAAATGAACTTGGCTTCTCATATCAGCTTTCAAATGTGTACATTACTTATGGGAGCAAATAAAAAATACATACTGCCCCCAAACTTATGAATGGTAGTGTATTAGGACAAAACCCCCTACGTTCAATTTGAGTTCAATTTATTCCGTAGGTACATCAATCATTCATGCTCGCCGAACTGTGTGGCTGAGGTTGTGACGTTCGAGCGGGGCCACAAGATCATCATCAGTGCCGCCCGCAGGATTGAGAGGGGAGAAGAGGTAAGGAAGAGGGAATTCACTGAAAATTAACTGCACCCCTAAAAGTCTTTTATTTTTATGCACCTTAAATGAAATATGCACATCAAGTAATGATGCAAACATGCCCCAGAAATTAGCGTTGCGATGCACAGCACAGTATTGCAGGGCGGTTCTGCTAGATTGTGAAGGATGCAGCAGACCTCTGCAATCGGGCTTTAAATCAGTTATCAACAAATTGGACTGAACCATCTGAAACGGTTCATGGCTCAAGCCAGCACAGGTCTAAAAAGGCTCTGGATTACACAGGTAATAATGTTGTAAATAATGTTTCTTGCACAGACCGATTGTTTCGCTTCATAAGACCTCAAGTTATAAAAATAACGTCATGATGCAAAATAATCTTAATGACATGAAATAGGCTCAATTTTATCTACTATATAGTTTGTCTACTATAAATATATATAAATTTTTTTTTTTTTACCACCCAGAGATGGTTCATAAAGTTTTAAATATGGATATTTTTCTTACACAAATGCATCTATTCACTTCATATACACCTAGGATGGATTGAGGGTGAGTAAATAATGAGGTAATTTTCATTTTTGGGTGAACTATCCCTTTAACAGATTTTCATGGGATTCATGTTTCTTCATGCTCAGGCAGAATTACAAGTCTTTGGGGACAATCATATTTTTGGGACAGATTAGTATCCAGAAGTGAGCTAAACCTGACAAAACCTCTTTATCATTTGTAAAAAATTATATAAAAATAAAGTTTCTAAAAATGCAGAAAGTTTTCTGTTATTGTTTGGATATATTGTTTAGAACTAGCTATATACAAAAACAATAGAATACAAAAAGTCTATGAAATGTCCCAAGTAAACGTGTGTGTATACCGATTATTCATATCTTGGGGACAATTTTGTACCCAGAACCTAGGTGCAAACCTGGCAAAACTTCCTTTTGGGGATGTCCTCGTTTGTATAAACAGTATAAAAATAAAAAAGTTTTTCAAGAAAAAAAAAAAAGGCAGAAAGTTTTCAGTTAGGGTTAGCTTATAGTATTTATATGTATGCTGTATATAGAACAGCGTAAGCCTATGGAATATGCCCATTGTGACTAAACATGAGTGTGTGTGTGAGCTCTAGCCTTGGGTGTGGAAGCATGTCTAATGTGTCTCATGTCTGCAGGGTCTTGGGCTGTTTGCAGCGCGTGACATTGAGAAGCAGACCATGGTGATTGAATACATGGGGGATATTCTGCGCGCTGAGGTGGCCATGAGGAAAGAGCTGCTGTACAAGGCTAAGGTAAAGCTCGCTCAACCACTGAGGGAATAGCGCTGGGAATAATGTTGCCTTGACTTCGAAATGCATTTGTATAAATCTGTGTGGATTTCTCCCACAGAACCGCCCAGCGTACATGTTCCGCGTCGACAGCGAGCGAGTTATCGATGCAACCCGGTCTGGAAGCCCTGCAAGGTAAGAAATGAACTTGGCTTCTCATATCAGCTTTCAAATGTGTACATTACTTATGGGAGCAAATAAAAAATACATACTGCCCCCAAACTTATGAATGGTAGTGTATTAGGACAAAACCCCCTACGTTCAATTTGAGTTCAATTTATTCCGTAGGTACATCAATCATTCATGCTCGCCGAACTGTGTGGCTGAGGTTGTGACGTTCGAGCGGGGCCACAAGATCATCATCAGTGCCGCCCGCAGGATTGAGAGGGGAGAAGAGGTAAGGAAGAGGGAATTCACTGAAAATTAACTGCACCCCTAAAAGTCTTTTATTTTTATGCACCTTAAATGAAATATGCACATCAAGTAATGATGCAAACATGCCCCAGAAATTAGCGTTGCGATGCACAGCACAGTATTGCAGGGCGGTTCTGCTAGATTGTGAAGGATGCAGCAGACCTCTGCAATCGGGCTTTAAATCAGTTATCAACAAATTGGACTGAACCATCTGAAACGGTTCATGGCTCAAGCCAGCACAGGTCTAAAAAGGCTCTGGATTACACAGGTAATAATGTTGTAAATAATGTTTCTTGCACAGACCGATTGTTTCGCTTCATAAGACCTCAATATATCATCAGGGGCAATGGGTATTATTTTTGTCTTGCCTGTATATGCTTTTTTGTCTCTCTCAAAGTGACGGTAGCTGCTGACTTGCATTTTATGAATCACAAAGGACCACAGTTTCAGCTAAAACACTTCTTTACTGTTCTTCTGAATTCATCTCCCTTTTAAAGCAACTTTGTGTATTTTTGCAACTTCTGAGCATTTGTTGCTATTGTAAAGCAGTCTGCCTTTTCGCGGAGTTTCCTACCTGCTCACCAAACTTCCAAACTCCCAGAACAGATGTTTGAGAAAGAGACCACGTACCATCAGAATGATTTTGAAATGAATACAGTTGCTATCAAGTTGATTTTTAAAACAGTATTTTAATTACACTGTTAAATGTCAGTACCGGCCTTCTTACTGTACATACTGTTCTGTGACCGTTCAGCATCATTCTGATCCAGACACCTCAAAAGGGCCCTTTAACTCTTTCCCTGCCAGCGTTTTTTTTAAAAGTTGCCAGCCACCACCAAAATTTTTTATGATTTTCACTAAAATTTCATGGCCCCCCAGAATATTTGTTTTATGAATATCAAAACGTTTAAAAGTAGTTAAAAGTTTCTGTTTTATTCTAGCTTCAAGCATTATTGTTTTATCAACACTTAAATGCAGGTAAGTTTTATTTTTTTTAAAAAGCAACACCCCCAAAGCTTCACAGTCCTTTGCCACTTCCTGGATTGACATTTCACTCGGTAACATTAGGCATAACATTTCAAAGCTTGCACAGTCCTTTACCACTTCCTGGATCGACATTTCACTCGGTAACATTAGGCATTTTTGATTTATATGCTGTTTATTGTTGATGATCGCATTGTTTTTCATATGCATATGCATACATACGAGATCGCTGCTTTCTGCGTCTTCCTCGCATGTGTTTTTGATCGGCACATTCTAGACTCATTCAGGAGATGCGTAATAGCGCCCCGAGCGTATAACAGCGATGAATATTTAGGTTGAAGTGTTCTGGAACAGTGTTGTAAATACAACATATAACCACTGATTTCTAGTCATGTCCTCTTTTGGAAGACCAAACAAAGTAGTTTCGCTTTCACAACAAAACACACGGCGGGCTAGAGTGAGCAGAGGCGGCGGACTTGAGAACGGCGTTTTGGGCGGCGTTATGCAAATCTTCCCACATAGTGACGTAGGTATGTGGGGGCGTGTTTCAACGAACCGTCTTAGGTAGGCGTGGTTGACTCTTAACTTTTATAAAGAATATCTCTTTGGATTTGAGACTTTAGTCTTTGCAACTTTACAGATCTTCTTTATGCACCAAGAGCTTGTAACACTCCAAAGAGAAAGGAAAAATTTTAATCGCATCATATGACCCCTTTAAAAAGCACTTTAAAGTACTCTCGACTACATCGCATAATGCTCTTCTTGATCATGTGATGAAATGCTGAATAAGGGCAGAGTTTTGTAATGTCTGCTCTCATAAGAACTATCCACAGTGCTTCTGATTTGATATTTGAACTTCCTTTTTTGTTGCAGCTCTGCTACGATTACAAGCTCATCCCAGTTGCAGATCAGAGCAAGATCCCATGTCACTGTGGAGCTGCCAACTGCCGCAAGTGGATAAACTAAACAGGAGTGACAACAACAACTCTGAGGTGCCAATTTACCAGAGGGGACGTGCAAAGAAGAAACAGCCAATCCTGGAAGTTGTTGATCTTTTTTTTTTTTTTTTAAATGTGCAAGACTAAGAGGAAAACGCAACGCGAGAATTCAGCATTGTGTGAGCCATTCTTATCATTTCTTGACTTGAAAGGAAAATGTTCCGTTATGTGCATTCATTGTTTAGTGTAAGAAAATAAAGGTGTTTTGTATTTATTACTGTGTGAGTGAATGAATGGGCCTATTTTTAAAAGCGGTTTTATGCCGATCAAAAGGAAGCCCGACTGCGATTCTTGCATGCAGTTTGAGATTCTGTTACATCTGTAAATACCGTGTAAATATAGAGAAATATTGGAATGATTGACCAAATACTACCTTATTCATATTGATGTTCAGATATTTTAGGTGTGCCTTTTTGTTTTGCTTTTTCTCCTTTCTTTTCTTCTTCGGAATTATTTAACAAAGACACATCATGATACCACGTGTACACGTGTAATTACGAAACTGTACAGAATTACAAAGGGGATTTCACAAGAAAAGTATTTTCTCTGTGCTTAGGATGTGGTATTTGTAGTGACTTTGTGGTTTATACATTATTGCTGACTGTTTGGTTGGTTTTCATTTCATTTTATTCAATTATATTTTATGGATAGCAGCGACACGGAATTCAAAAGTGACATTCTAGTAAATCAGGTGGGATTGTAGGTGTAGGGATAACTGTGAAATGAACTTTAAACCTCACAAACTGATTATGAGATCACAAGCGTAAACTGAACGGGCACAAGTAGATCACACTCATTTTTTATAAAGGCTGTCGTATGGATTTTATAAACATGCAACGTTGTGCAAGAACGAGAAGTTGTTCGATTGAGAAGCTTGCTTGTTGGAGACGGTATGAGCAGGTATCGGTGAGAAAGAAGTGTCAGCGTAACTCTGAAAATGATGTACATATGAAAAGCATATGCTTGTATTAGTTTTATCGATTGAAGTGAAGCATCTGTAAAGAGAGCACTATTCATTTTGTAGCCAAAAAACTCTTTTTCCCATTTCATAATGCCTTGTTGTTTCAATATGGGAGTTTCTGTGTGCACAATTTCACGTTGAAAAATGGACAGTTTAGACTTTGTATTGTACTGGGCATGAATTTTTTCAAAAGAGTCAGTTGTATATATTTTTTCTCAATGAACAGCTGTAAGAAAATTGTTTCATGGATATTTTCCTCGTCTTGTATAATACATCAATTTCCTAGTGTTTTTTTCTTCGTTTCTTTTGCTCTGTATAGTAGTCTAAATTGTTTTGGAAACTGATGCTTTTTTGAAGTACACAGAGCGATATAGGGTTTGGTATTTGAGGAATTGAATTTACATTTACAAAAATAATAAAATATTTTACATCATTAACAACTTATTTTTCTTCTGGTAATGTGTTCCTTTTTTTTTTATTATACTTGAAGAAACGACTTAACTTTACAAATATTTCACTGTTGTTTCAGAATATTTTGAAAAATTATTTAAATTTCATATTCCATCAAGTTTATATGTGATGCTTTGTTTTATTCTGTTCTCTAAAGACATTTTCACACCTAAATGACAAATTAAAAACATTTTTAAACAATACTATTTTACATTTGAAATAGTTCACCCTGGGTTATTCTAAACCTGGGTAAACAGAATCCTGGGTTATCTTGTGTCATGTTTCACACTTTTCATAATTTACCCGGGGTTAACAGTTAATTCTGGATATTCATTAAATGACGTTTAACACTTTACATTCCCCACGTTAACCCTGGGTTAATGTTCTTATTTGCATATTTTTGCGGTGTCAGTGTCATTGATTGTGACCTGTATACATAATGGCTGTGGCATTGCGCATCCTTTTATTGCAGACCGTACGATCAACAATTTCCTGAAGGTACTTTTAGGCTTATAAAGGTAAGAATGAAACGTCTCCAAATACAGTGTTTTATTTTGCAGCATTTTCTTTTGTTTATTCCCTCTGTCACCATGGACATTCCTGCAGTCCAGTTATTGTGCCTGGAGCAGAGGGACTGCTCCCTGGAAATCCACACCAGGGACTTCATCGAACTGGCGACCCTGACACACTACCCAGACCGCTCGCTCTTTGGGTCCCGAGCAAAACTGCCAGGGAGCGGTCCTCAACAAGATTTCGCCACATGTTTGGAGTGGGTGCTGGTAAACAACAACTCTGCATTCACCATCGGCCTCTCTGAGCCTACCATCACCCCTCTTCCTAACCCAGCACCCAGTCAGCCAAAACCCAGACAGATGGAGCAGCCTGGTTCCACCGCAGACACAGAGCCTGCGCCTGCTGCCGAGAAAGAGCCAGCGAGCCCTGCTGAGCCGTGTTCCGCCCCAGAGCCTGAGCCCAAGCAGGTGCATCAGTCGGCAACAATGCCCGTCGCCGAGGGAGTACTTGTATAGTTTGAGGGCATGGATGGAATGCTCAGCCCTGAATCTCCTACGTCTCCTATTCCCACCCCGCCTCCCTCTCCCACCTCCTCCCCAAAAAAAAATCAGTTCCTCAGCCCTGCCTCCACTGGCTCTTGCCAGCCCCTCAGCTCACCCTCAGCGCCATCCAGGCACTCTGATTCACCTCGGGCCTTCCAATCACCAGCATCACCTTGGTGTAAGGATCCCCTGTCTCCATTTCCAGCCACAGAGCCCCAGACTCCACCTCAGTCCTCCGACCCATCGACTCCGCCTTGGCTCAATGGTTCCCTCAGCTCCACTGTGGCCCATCATCCCACCAGCTTCGCCAGGCTCCCTCATCCATCAGGCTCTGCCTTGGTCAACTGTTGACCTGCCTCCGCCTCAAGACTTCACTCCTCTGGCTTTGCCTTGTCCCTCTGGGTCCATCGGGCTCCTCCTTCCCTCCGGCTCCACTTTGGTGACCTGTCGCTCCGGCTCCGCCGTGGTCTTCCGAATCCCTGTTTCCACCTCGGCCCCTTGAGCCGTCTACTCCGCCTTAGCCCTCTGGACCTTCGGTGTCACCATGGCTCTGTGCCTCCTCAGCTCCGTCTGGGTCTCCATCAGAGCTGGCTTCATCGCAGGAGTTCGTACCCCTGGTCACATCTTCCAAGTTTCCACCATGGCTCCTCCCTGACTCCCTCTCTCCCTCTCTGTCTCCCTCTCAATCAACAGAAATCCAGTTGAAACACTTCTGCTGTACTGTTCAATCTGTATCTCATGTTTTTATAGGCACATATATTTAAACTACCGCTACATCCCACCAATATACAAAAGCCCTCCTGAGACTCTCAAAAGAAGGATTTGATGTCCCTGAAACTGCAGTCTAGGATGGGTTTTACAGCCAAGCAATTAGTAGTCAGTTGTTCCATTGTCAAAAAAGTAATCTTCCAATTTATCTACATTTTAAAACACCAGGCAATTAATTCACATCAGGTTGTCCCACCAATTTCATCTTGAGAGCTGACTGAACTGGAACAATGTGCTCCAGACAGAGCAGAAGAAAGGAAAACTGTTTGGCCACAGTGCCAGACATTATGTTAGATGAAAACCAAAACCTCTGACCAAACATGCCTCGTGCTGACTGTCAGTCATGATGAGAGCGTTTGGTTTCAGGCTGCGTTTCTGCCTCAAGACAGGCCATCTGACCATCAGTCAAACACAAATTACATGTTACATCAGCGTGTACAGTATTTGAGGAGAAACAGGTCTTATACCAATACGCTCGATTTCAGTTGAAGTTTAGCATGTGTAACTTGAGGATGTTGTCTCTGCAAATAATATAGGATGATACTTTTGCTTCCCTTATTTAAGACAAAGCCTCACTGGGTTACAATGTGGAATCTTTAACAAAAGGTGCCACCTGCTGGTAATACATTAAATGAAATCAATGAGTTTGAGAAATGAGAACATGATTGAAATTAGAGAATGAAATATAAAATATGCAGGAAATATATAACTGGGCATTTTAGTAACTCCCAAAAAACTGAACCGTTTTTATAAAGCTCCATGTATAAACAAATCACAATTATTATGTTTTATATTACATTACAACAGTCATTTATTACTAAAGAAGGGGTTTCAAGTATGACAAATTATAGTAATTTAAAATTAAATAATGCTGTTTTTGTGTCACAGAATGTAGTTTTTTTAGAAACTAAGTTTTTTTTAGAATGTACCCTCTGCGGGGTTAAAAAGCTCTCGGATTTCATAAAAAATATATTTTTTTAAAGATTTAATTTGTGTTCCGAAGATGAATGGTCTTACGGGTTTGGAAAGGCACATGGGTGAGTAATTAATGATAGAATTTTCATTTTTGGGTGAACTAACCATTTTAGAAACAATATATGATAAGAAATCATCAGAGTGATGAACAGTGGACTTATGTCTCATATTGTAATTACAGTTAAGAGTTAAGAAAAAATATCTGGCAATAACAAATCAAGGTAAAATCATATTTTCAAAAATTGTGTGTGAACACCTAAATCACTGCATCACTCTGACTTTAACCTGACATTCTTACAGTCGTTCACTGTGTGTGTGTGTGTGTGTGTGTGTGTCTGTGTGTGTGTGTGTGTGTGTGTGTGTGTGTGTGTGTGTGTGAGAGAGTGAACTACCTTATCTTTTGGCAAGGTATTTGGCCCTTGCAACAGGATCAGCGTTCACTTGTGCTCTGTGACAAGCCTCTTTATCTTTGCTTGAAAGTGGCATCAATTGGGGCAAAAGGGGCTCTATGTCATGTCGTATTAATGATAAAATATCAGACATTTAATGAATTGTATTTTACAGATGTAAATTGTAATCTTTGGTTAACATTTCTATTATCACTAAATTTTTGTTCAAATGTAGACACCCACTTCATTCTGCTACATTATTAAATCATGTATGTATATATTATATTATATGATATTGATATTATATGTCGCTTAAAATTTTAAGTGAATGGAATAGAAATATGCATTAAAGCTAAACATTTCAAAAACACTAATGCTGTGCAACATAATTATTTTATCCTAGACTTACAGAGAGCTTTAATAATACAGTTGTGGATAAAGCACCACTTTCTCAAAAAAATATAACATTGAATACTTGAAAATAGTTCCAAATAGTAGGTTAGTTTATATTAAATCTTTAATCAGCATCATAAACTAGTGATATTTGACTAAATTGGTCCCTAACAGAAA